ATGGTTCATGCTACGGTACTATGGTTTATGCTTCGGTACCATGGTTCATGCTACGATACCATGGTTCATGCTTCGGTACCATGGTTCATGCTACGATGCCATGGTTCTTGCTACGATACCATGGTTCATGCTACTGTACCATGGTTCATGCTACTGTACCATGGTTCATGCTTCGGTACCATGGTTCATGCTACTATACCATGGTTKATGCTACGGTACCATGGTTGATGCTTCGGTACCATGGTTCACGCTGGTTATGGTCGTTTTAAGGTTAGATGCATAGTTGGACCTATGCCAACCTCAAACAGAGCTATTCTAGTTTTCGACAGGTGTTACTACTACTCTGAGTTATCTCATAAGATTATGTTCATTCCCATTTCTTTGTCATGCAGTCTTGGTGGCTTATTTTGCCGGCTTTAGCTTTTCACTTTCTTAGTGCTAGAATTTTAACACGGAAGTACTGATTTAGAGGTATCATTAACTAATGACGTTATTTTGTCATACTTGGGACGTGGCGGCCCTGGCAGTCTGCACAGTCAATCTTTGATACAGTCAGCTTTTATTAAAAGTATTCAGTATTCAGTAAAATACACAAAACAATATTAATATTTAGTTGAATAATTCATTATTTTATTCAGCATTTCCAGATCAATTAAAGTTACAGGTCAAAACAGTTCTTGCCTAGTTACAGTGTTGTATAATGAGCCTTAAAACCACGCGCAGAGCTTAAGTGAGAAGCCTGGAAACGAATATTGGCTGCATTGCCTGCGATCTTTATGGGCAGTGGTTTAGTCATGCCACAGTACTTCCCTACTTGTTTTCGGTGTTGAGAGTCGATGATTAAGAGATAGTCATAGGAACATGTAAGAGGGGAGTCATCGATGGCAAAATCCTCGAATGTTATGAGAATTTGTTGGATGTCTGGCTCTGCCTGGATCTCCCAGTCACAVACCTAAAAAGGAAAAAACGAATAAGACTAGTCTGATACCCATATAACGTCTAGAGTGCACGCACTAAAACCGTTGAACATTAAATAGTACTAATTAGCACTATTTCATACAGAATCCTTTGTTTTCTATTGTTTAATTATCACTATTTAGTGCTAAAAATTAGTTTTGTTTCACGGATTTAGTGTGAGCACATTTATTGCTGTGAACTACTTACTATTCTGTTAGGGTAATGTGATGGGTAATTAGGGCTTGAAAATGTTCCAGTATTCCCTGCCAACTCTCCTCCACAAGCTGAAACAAAGATAAACAAATGCTATTAAGAACCGGGCAGGTAGGTCATCCAGCCGACACAGCAGATATCATGCAAGCAGCATGCATGTGATATGTAACACGCGGTGAGTAAGCCTTGGCTTTCATGACAGTCACGCATTACGTATTTTTCCTGTCTATATCTATTGTCTTCCCCATATTGAAGTAAGTACAACGACACTTCCCATGGCAGAATTTCTATATTTTACGTTTATTTTTTCTCGCATTTTACCTATAACGCATCATCTATCATGTACTTCTTTTCGTGGGATTCTAATAGCTCACTAGATAAACTGTGCTCTGACGAGGCCCAATACAGGCTGAAACAGCTGTCCACTGTTTCTAGTTGAGCTGGCTCATATTTTACGCGACTATTGTTTTCTCTTGTTTAATTACACTATTTACTACTAAATAGTGCAAAGTGTTGCACACTTTTAGTGTTTGTGCTCTATTCGCGTTTCAGGTGTACACTAAGTGTTGTTTGTGCCTGACAATAGACCAGTTTCGAATTCCAAATTACCCCTGTGTGCCTTGATTACAGACTCATTTGCACAGGGTTAGCCTCGTATCAGTGTTTAAATATTCACAAATACCAACGGTAAAGTAAAGAATGACCAACTTCAACAATACGAGCACTTTGAAGCTCGACGGACCTTGACTGGAACACGTGAATATTCTGCACAAACTCGAGGCTAACCCTGTGCAAATGAGTCTGTAATCAAGAAACACAGCGGTAATTTAGAATTCGAAAAGGGTCTATTGCCGTATGAACCCTGMTTTATCCTTTACCCGGTAAAGATCCAAATGCCCGGTAAGATGCTTCAAATCCTTGTGCTGTTACGTCTTTATCTGAATGAAAGTGAACACGTGACTGGTGCCAGTCGACCTCCACTGATTGGTTGGTTTTTGTTCCACAAATTTTACTGCCTTTCAGGGTCCCTGTGATGTCCTCTACAACCAGGTAATCTTTTCTGGAAGAATAGAGAAAACAGAGCTTTGATTAACTGAAGTGAATACCCTCATTGTATAACAAGAGCCATACATTCTACCTGCAGTGTGGACTTTGTTCAAGATCAACATGGTGAAAAGT